CTTGTAGAGCCTTGTTAAATGCATGCTATGGTTTACCCGCATGCCTTATGAGCACTGACCAATGCGCATCAGACCTTCGAGACTGTTACTCCTCACTGTCATCCCTTCCATTCTCTTTCCTTCTTCAACCCCTCCGCACTCCATCCAATTTCGGTCAGACCTGACAGACCGGTTCCAGGTTTTCATCTTGCCTACTGCACTATGCAAACTTAACTCGGCTTCAACTCAGTCAACCTGTAGTCCTTCCTCCTAACAACTGCTGCATAGCATTTCGAGATGTGATGTGGTGTGTTTGGTGGTAAAACACACCATTTGAAATGCTTTCATCAACTTCGCTTCAGTGATGAATCACTCAAAAGTCGATGCCATGCGCCACCCTCAGCACCACCCTCCATTCTTAATAGCTGTGAACAATTGCATGTTACTACTACCACGTTTCACTCCTCCGCAGTTGATATGACATGAACATTCATGCTTAATGTTGCGTGATTGATGATATAACTTGTTTATACCAGCATCACTTAGGAAAGGCAAGTTGTTATGGTCGCTACTTAAGCGAATGCCTCTCGCCCACATCAACTTGTTCTTCGGCTTTTCACGCTTGCTTTGTGTGTGGACATTTTCATGTGTGTGCGTGTGTGTGTGGCGGACTGAAAACGACATTGATCACAATGTCACGTTCACTTTCCGAAGGTCAAGCAATTGCGAGCGGATTACATACATTCACAAAATTGTCTTCTTCAGAAACACCCAGAAGATCCAACGCTGGTCCTGTTATGAGCCTAGCATGACAGCACAACACCCAGGACTCCATTTCACCATCTCATCTACTCATGAGTAGGCTTTCAGTGAGTTGGGACAGGAGATCCATACTGCTTCACCTCCATCCTCCTCACTCTCCTCACCCTCCTCACCTCCCGAATTCCCCTCCTATTCATCCAAGCCATGAGTGGATTAACGCCATTCCTTGACATTTGGCAGTCACACGTGAATAAGGCAGTTTGTTTTGAGGTAACATGAAGGTGGAAAGGGAAGTAACTGGAGCTGAGCTGTTGGTTTCAGCAGGCAAAAGCTGCTGCATGACAGCGGTATTTGCAGCAGGCCTGTGTCCGTTTCGCCAGAGGATTAGATTGTAGACTGTAATGGTGATTAGTACAGAGTTCGGTGCAAGGTCTTCTGTAGCCGCGTATTTTA